CATCTCTCTCTCTCTCTGGTAGGCCCCCCCCTCCCTCTCTCTCTATTTTTTTCTCTCTCACACTCATAACAGTAAATGGAACAAAACTCTCTCTCTCTCCCTCTCTCTCCTCTCTCTCTCTCTCTCTCTCTCTCTCTCGTGTTAGCTCTTAGTCTCATTGTACTGGCTACTTTAGGGCTGCGTTCCCCGCGAGACAATTACCAGATGGCAAATGTATCACATTTAGGCATTAGGCAGGTCAGTCAGATGATGGGCGTTGCCCTTTTGGTTATGTCCATGAAGCTGGGAGAAATCCAAGTCGTCCTTTTTTTCTTTTTTTTTCTGTTCTTTCAAGTTGTCCATTTTGGGATAGTGGCAATCATATCCTACCTCCACCACCCCCCACCACTAGACCATCGGCACTACCGGATCATTATTAGGAAAGGAACAAAGAGGAGAACGGTGGCGGTTCGTCAGTGAATGGCAAGGCGTCGAAATGAAGGGTGCAGCGCCGCGACCTATGGCTTTGTAGGAAAGGGTAAAGGGTACTGGAACAAGGGCCCAGTAAAGTTCACTTCTTGTTGAAGCCAGGTCTCCGAGTACGACCCCTACCGGTACGGGTAGTTGTTCCTTCGCTCGCTCGCTCGCTCGCACTCGCTCAAGGAACTCGAAGACGGCCTCGGGTCGATCGAAATATCCTCGACTGGAAAGTTGCGCGCGGCGTAACTGCCGCCATCTGCGTTTCTGATTCAGTGCTCGCCCCACTTTTTGTTGCAATTCGATGCTATTCCTCCATTTTTTCCTTTCTTTGGCTTGCGCGGCGCGCAGCGGGGCCGAGCGGAGCGGAGCGGACATCCATGCACTGGCATGCCGTTTGGAAACGTCTACGCTCTAATGCGGTTTGGCAACGTGTGCACACCATCGAATCCGGTTTGTCGTCTGATGATTCAAGAGTCTGCTCCTTCTGCTCCTTCTGCTCCTGCTGCTGCTGCTGCTGCTGCTGCTGCTGCTCTGCTGCTGCCCCTTGTGCTGGTGCGACGGCGTGTTCTTTCTTCTAACGCTTTTCGTCGACGGGGAAGACTTTTCCGTGAGAAGCGAAAGGCGGAAGTGGAAAGTGCAGTAGGGATTCCGCGAGAGAAGACGAGTGAAGGAGAGTGGGAAAGGAAAGAGGAGGAGGGGGGCAAGAAGGGAGTGGAGGTCTGCTGAGGGAGTGTTGTCGGAAGAAGTAGAGGCGACGGTGAAAAGAGCGCTATCAGCGGATGATGGAGCAGCTCGTGCTTGAGCTGATCATTCCAGAGCAAAGGGAGAATGCTCTACTCGATCTCAGCAAGAAACGCGAGGCGTTTCCCGACCTGGCTCCGATTCTCTGGCACTCCTGTGGAACTATAGCTGCTCTTCTTCAGGAAATTGTATCTATCTATCCGGCGCTGTCACCTCCAACTCTCAGTGCTGGAGCATCTAATCGAGTATGCAATGCGTTGGCACTACTGCAATGTGTAGCTTCTCATCCAGATACACGCGGCTTGTTCTTAAGCGCTCATATTCCTTTGTATTTGTATCCTTTCCTCAACACGATGAGCAAATCCAGACCGTTCGAGTACCTTCGTCTTACGAGCTTGGGCGTGATTGGCGCCCTTGTAAAGGTTGATGACACGGATGTCATAAACTTTTTGTTGTCTACGGAAATCATACCGTTATGTCTTCGCACGATGGAGATGGGGAGCGAACTCTCCAAGACTGTCGCCACGTTTATCGTCCAGAAGATTCTTTTAGATGACGTTGGATTAGAGTACATCTGTGCCACTGCCGAGAGATTCTTTGCCGTCGGCGGCGTGTTGAGCAGCATGGTTAGCATGTTGGCTGAACAGCCTTCCGTCCGCTTGTTAAAGCATATCATCCGCTGTTATCTTCGGTTATCTGACAACACTAGGGCTCGAGAGGCGTTACGGAACTGCTTGCCAGATCTTCTTCGAGATTCCACATTCAGTGCTTGTCTACGGGATGACGTGACAACCCGGCGATGGCTAAGCCAGCTCCTTATGAACGTCGGGCCGCCGATCCCGCATGCGCAGCAGAGACCGCAAGTTTCAATCCCCGGAGGGCCGCGTATGTCGTTGTTGGAGAGTCATCAGCTTGCGAGGGGGGCGCAGTAAGACAAGGGGAGGGGGCGCAGTAAGACAAGGGGAGGGGCGGAGGAGGAGGAGGAGGAGGGAAGAGGAGATGGATGGATGCACGAGATGTGGTTGTTGCGGACCAACCATCTTGTGCGATCTCCTTGCAATATGGTCGTGTTTTGCGACGATTTAATATGGGTTGGGAGGGGGGGGGATCGTCACTTATCGAGCGTTGTTGGCAGGAAGACGACGCAGCAAAAGGCAAAAGGAATGCCATGTGCGATGTGATTGCACGCGGAGAACAAGGCTGGAGTTGAGCGGAGGATGGATGGGTAGTTGAAGTATGAGAGTGTGCTCAGCGTATAGCGAGCTCTCTCTTACTTTTCCCATGGCTGATTATGGTGGTGGTACCTAACCTGCAACTGTTGATTGATCAACACTTTCGTGTTCAAGCTCTTGAATCTGGTAAATAGTAATAGCTGGCTGATACTCGGGAGTGGTTCCACTGCACTAGAAACAAGCAATACTAGCAGAAGTTGTGGCCGTAGATTTGTCCGGTTGTTGTATAAACGGCTGAGATGATGTAGTAGGTTGCGATTCTAGTGCACTGGAACGAAGCCCATTCATTGTTTTTCTTTGATGAAGAGGTGTCATGATTGCCCGTCGATTTTGTTTGTTAAATAATTCTCTTTTAGGTTATTAGATCGGATTGATTGACAGGTGGAAGGTAGTATACCCGCTGCGGCTTGCTGGCATGTGTTGATTGTACACGCTGCGGCTTGCTGGCATGTGTTGATTGACCGGTGGAAGGAAGTATACCCGCTGCTGCTTGCTGGCGTGTCTTCAGCAGTACAATAAAAGAGCTTGGGAGGGAAGAGAATTGAGCGGCGGCGGGGGAGGAGTTTTGGGCGGGCCGGGGGCGGGGGCGGGGGCGAGGGGGGGGGNGGGGGGGGGTTTGAGGGGAGGTGGAGGAAAGATGAGGGGCTTGCATTTGTTTGTAGAAGGTAGGGAATTCGAAAACAGGAAAGGACAGGCTTTTGAGTTGCAACGCTGTTAGTCCCTTTCGGGACTTGCCGTATTCGGATCGTCATCGAATGGTTGCCATAATTGGAAGCCTCTCCCTGTGGGGATGTGGCGCTTAGAAAATGTTTCATTTGTTGTAATAATTTTTTGCCGGCTTTTGATAAACCGGTCGTGCTGCTCCCCACGAATAGAATGGAGCTCTTGTTGTTGTTTTTTTCTTTGATTTTTGTGCTCTCGTCTATCTCTCTCTCTCTCTCTCTCTCCCCCCACCCCTTTTTTCCCCTCTGTTGCTCTTCTTTTTATTGTGGGAGTCCTCGTCAAAACTTTGGTCTGGTCTGGACTGGTCTGGTCGTTGTTGTTCGTGAGAAGTGGAAAAAAAAAGACCAAATCGAAAACGGAGGAAGACGGAAGGTCAAGTTGGTTGCCACGTAGCTACCTGCGCGCCGAGCCGCTAATCTACCGCTGAGAGAGATGGCCTTGCAACGCCACCATCGCCGCGGGATCGGAAGGGAAGGACGACGGCGTTCCTCGGTGAAAGGAAGTCGGCCGCTGGCAGCTCATCATCTCTTATGCAACAGAAACTATAGTAACTTGGAAAAATCGACGGGGTGGGGTGTTGTCGCGACGGGCGTGGACGGCGTGGGATGGCACGCACACGATACGTTACTTCGCTATTTTATCATTGGTAGTGGTGCTCTTCCCTCTTCCCCATCGCCCTTTCACCCTTTTCTTTTGTCTATCCCTTCTCTTCATCTTCATCTTCATCTTTCTTCCTTCTGATTACTCCCCCGTCGTTTCCTCCCTTTTTTTTTCTCTCTCTCTCTTTGTTCTCCTCGTCGCGATCTCGATTTAGACCCGCTTAATGCTGGGACTGTCCAACGTTGTAGCCCTCCTACTCTTCCCGCCGCGTCCTCCCACTCCTTCCTCGTGCCCCCTTATCCCCCCCAAACACGCCTCTGCCTGAATCCAGTGAAGAAGAATCGGTTGGTGTCAAACAGAGAGAGAGAAAGGACAAGACGTTATGTCATCAGGAAGTCTATTGATCTACCACTGTAATGGTGGTAGGAGAGCGGGGAAAGGAGGAGGAGGATAAGGAGGAGGAAGCGGACGAAGATGATCATGACGGTGAAGAATTCCGTGTGAGGGTAAGGAGAGAAGCAGCGCGAGGAGCGAGAGATGATAAGGTGAGAGTATAATGAGACGCAGACATTACTATGGGCACTTCTCTCTCCCTCTCTCTCTCTCTCTCTCTCTCTCTCTTTCTGCCCGCCTCCCTACTCCCACCTGACTCCGCCTTTGTCCTCCCAGTTGCACTTCGCTCGCCTCCTCCATGTCCACTTTCCACTTCTCCTTACTCCGATCGGGATCTGATTTTTTCTCCCTTACTCGGATCTCATGCTGACGTGGCAGCGGCGACATTACTTCCTCGCTATTGTTCACATACTCTGCCCATGCTTCTCCTTGGAACCTTCAGCGGCCCTTCCTTCCACCTTTCCGCAATCACAGCTCACTCGTCCTTGCTCGTCTTACACATCCGCGCTCCCTCTTGTTCCTGGCTCTTCTTTCGATGTGGCCAGCGCGCTCCGCATGGCACGTGGCAAACGGCGCCAAATGGTTGCAGGCCTCTTTTCCGGTCATTCTTTCTTGTGTACGTGTGCCAGAAGAACACCCCTTTCACTCGGCCTGTCCTCGTCCTCTCCCAGAACAACTCGTCGTTGATCGTGGCTGCCGTCGATCGTGGCGGCGTCTCCACCCTCTCCTATCCTTTCCATCTCTTCCTCCTTTTCCTGCAATCCAACTGATGAGCCAGAAGCGCCTCAACCGATGTCGGATCAACAAATTTGTCCCCGCTCAATCTGACGTGTGCCGATCTCGTCCTGCGTTTCATCCCCCTCTTTTCGACTGCTGTCCACGTCACACCTTATCTGCCCTCACCCACTTGCAT